ATCTCAAATGCAAAAGAGCATCAGTCTAACCTTGAAGAAATGCATCAGACAAGTTATCAATATCATAGTTCTTAAGGATCATAGATTCCACATAATGGTCTCTGCCATCACCATCCTATATAGAGCAGACAACACTGACTTTGAAATTAAAAGGATCACTATTCTTAACAGAAGTTTGGAACGCTTTCATAAGAAATGTAGCAATCAATTTTACCCGGAAAGTCACTGTAGAGTCCACTTCGCTATCTTTACATGCGCCGATCAGAATTATTTTCCCCTTGGTTTCTTTACTTCTAGTAGATATTAACATTTGATTTTATTAATGCGAATGTAACTAGTGCAAATGGGGCAAAAAGGGGAATAAAGAGAGTATGAGACCTTTTGGAAGGGTAGATCTTTCAAGCAAGTGGGTGAATAAGAATCAGAGGGCAACTCGTTGACAACATCATGAAAATCAAGTAGGTTGAAGCTTCTTTTCTCGGGAGAGTATGCAACCTAAAGCTGCTCATGCAAACACAAATACTCACTTCAGAGTTTAGAAATTAAGCTTCACAGATTATAACACTGATTTTTATATAGCCATTAGTTCTTTTATTTTATTAAGCTTCACAAATCAAAACACTAATTTATATATAACCATTAGTTCTTTTATTTTATTAAGCACATTAAATGTTTTACATGATAAGAAGTGATAATTTAATTATTACATATACATTAAGTGAGCTAAATCATGTAATTATTTAATTATAAGTAACAAGAAAAAATTACTGTAACCTTAATTCAATTTTATAAGAAATACCTAAATTTATTATTTATAAAACATGATTATTATTTATTACTCACTCATATTTATAGATTGGGACAAGTAAATTTGATACTCTTTTATAGAATGAGTTGAGTCAAAGAAGGATTCCAACGTAAAAGTGTAATTATGCATATTTTGTGTGTGTCATAACCATGTAATAAATTGATTAATCACGAAATTAAGGAGCGAATGCAATAAATTATTACATATAAATATTTAAAAATATGATATTTAAAAATATAATATTCTAACGGATAAATCACAAAAGAAATTCAAAAGAGGTGAGTGAATAGTAGAAAAGTGTAAATAATGCAATTAAAATAACACATGAAGTAATTAACAAATTACATAAAATTATTTTGAATTAACAAATTACATAAATATTTATAATTATAAAAACATATAATTTATTCAACAAAAGTATTATCATTTTGCCCCGCGCCACCAAAATATTAGAAACGGTTATGTATGCAATTCTTGATTAGTTTCAACAATTGAGGTGAGAGGGTACGTAAATCAACAACGAATACTAAAAAAGCCACGAGTTTAGAACTCGATTATCGATTTTATAACGATCAACAGCTTGATTTTTAAGAAGTGAGCAAATTTTGAGAGAAGAGGAAATCGATTTTGAAGAACCCTAGTTATGGTGGTTTGATGATTGTGGTGTAGAAGAGAAATGAAGTGTGTAACCTTTTATATACAGGATATAGCTAAGCATTGAGGTTGTAGCACCTGGAGGGGGAGAGCTAATATAACTGAGCATTGAGGTTGTAGTGCCTGCAGGGGGAAACATACTGGGTGAAGAGAGACAGATACTCAATGGATATATATATATATATATATATATATATATATATATATATATATATATATATATATATATATATATATATATATATATATATATATAAATGAGTGTCAGAACTTTAAACAAAGAAAATTGTAGTAATAGAGTAAGAGTTAAGGAAGGAAGAAGGATGAGTAATAAAAGAAAAAAAAATTAATAAATTAAAAAAAATAAAAAGAAAACATGTATGTGCTTGATTCAATGTGTTCACTACACTTATATATCTTCAATATCATATCATTCTTTCTCTTTTTCCTTTTCTTATGTCGTTGTTAACGTATGTTTTTCGTTTGCACTTGAATCTACACCGCGATTGAGGTTAGAAACACTCCTTGATATGGCAACGGAATGTTGTTCTAATATAGAATATTGTTCATCATCATCATCATCAATTGAAATTACTTCATCATCAACTTCATTAGGAAGCCTACATTTTTCACCAAGTATAATCCTCTTAGTCCATAATGACTCAGAATAATGTTTTGCCTTCATATGACTTAATTCTGATGCCTTGTCCTTAAAATCGGATGCTTTATCCTTAATTTTCATAGACATTCTCATCCTAAGACTTGAGGATAACTTCCTTCTTGTTGATCCTTTTGATATGTAAGTTTGTAAAGATGATGGTGACTTATCAATCTTGGAGGGTTAATTCGGCTTTTTGTTCCCCATAGTTTCACCAAATTCTAGCTTTGTGGCTGCCGGTGGAGGTGGTAATGGCTTCGATAAACCACCATCATCATTCGTCGTGGTCGTTGTAATATGATCAATAGTATTTGTATCTTGTGATTGTGAGGGAGGTGAATTCGTTGATTCTATTGTCATGGTTGTCGTAATTCGTACATTCTTCTTCTCTTCTTCGTGTTGAGATTTAAAACTTTTCTTGGAACACATTCCACATAAACTTGAAACAGTAGCAACCATAGCTACAACCCATGTAACGAATAATGCTAATGATAAAATTAGGTGAATTGATGTTATTACCACGTTTGAAGGAAATTTTCTTCCCATGCCAAATATTTCACCCTAAAAAGAGTGTTTTTCTTCCAAAAATCCCTTTCAATCCCTCCTTTATGTTCTTTTGCTAGCTTTATAATTAATTTATTTAATATGATCAATTGACAAAGACTGAAAAGGTAAAGAAATGGATGTATTTCTCTTCTCCATATTGTTTCAAATGAAGATGAATACATCAATTTGGTATTAATTATTACAAGGGTGGTTTAGGATTTGAAGTTGTGCCCCTTCTCAATTTAAAGGGGCATATGATCAATTGTATGATTTGAAGAAATTTGCTATAATAGAAGGTTTTTGCTTTAAGTTTCATATATTAGATATGCTTTCATATTTATTAGTGTAAGGATTAACAAAAATGAAAAAAAAAGATGTTTTTTTTTTCTTTCCTAATCTACTTTGTTTCCTTGACATTGCTATAAACGTATAGATCCTTCAATATAGGACGGACATGAGGAAAAAATGTTTTTTTTTTTCTTTTAAAAGGGAGGGAAAAGAAAAATGCCTAAAATACCCCTTTTTAACAAAAACCCACCACCCACTTCTCCCCCCGCCACCCAACCAATTCCCCTGCTCTCGGCCGGCGTTGGCTGCGCCCATCAAGATCCCCTCTCGGGCGCCATCCAGAACCCCCTCCCCCTTATCGCGCGACCCCTGAACCACCCAATCCCCAACACCCCAGCCACCCCCGCTCTTCACCCCTCCCCCTATTGCATCTCCCTTCCGCGCGCTGAACCACCCAACACCTTCCCATAAACCCCTCTCTCTCCCCACGAAACCCCCTAAAACCATCAACCACCTTTGAAAACCCTAACCGGCCTTCCGCCACCATCGCTATGGTTCCGGTTGGGGTTTTTCGAGGGTTGAGATCGATGGTTTTTCGAGGGTTGGATGGTTTTTAGAGGGTTTAGGGTTTTGTGGGGATAGAGAGGGGGGCTAGTGGTTCGTGGGCGCCGACGCCGGGGGAAGAGGATCGAGGCTAGGCGTGTGGTGGCCGGCGGTTGGTGGTTTTTTTTTTAAAAATAATTAATATGTTAAAACAATAAAGGAAAAATCTGATTTTCAAAGATATAATAGTCATTTTGCTTTTAGTTCATTATGGTTAGGCTTTTTATTGTAGATTATTCTCATTAATATCACCATTGAATTAATAACACAAATTGTTGATTACCAATGATAATTTGATTTTTTTGATGTTTACCATTAAGAAAAATAAAAAGGTTAAGAGTACCATTGAGAATTTCCCAATCTTTTTTACAAAACTAAATTGGACGACTTTCAGTGTAAGATAGCAACCCAACTAGGCTCGTATAAACCAATCCAATCATATTCAATGTTGATAAATTCTTCTCCAATTTTTTATTAAACTTAAAAAAAAAAAGCCTCGAAGATAATGACTCAACTCATGATATAATATTTAAATCTAGCTCCAATGTAACTCCAAAAAAAAAAAAAAGCAAACTAGCTCCAATGTCAATACGTCGTCTTTTGTAATGGCTTAATACTGATGATAAAAGTTAATTAGACTTAAAATTAGACCTGATCAAACGTCGGGCCGAAGCTAAAATATTATGTCCACTTCTCAACCGGGTCGGGCCAAGCTTCGAGGGGGAATTTTTGTGCCCAAACCCGCTCAAAATGGTCGGGTTGTGTGGACTTTTCGGGCCTGGCCTAAATAAGCAACTAAATATGTATAAAAACGCATTCTCAAACCCGCTCAAAAACAAATCGGACCAAAAAAATTCTGCCTAAAATCTGCCCCAAATCGGGCCGGGCCATACTTGACCGGTTCTACTTAAAATCCAAAAGTGGAAAAGTAATTCTTATTTTACTTTCCAAATCATTGCTCTTATGTCGTCATGCATGAGATGAACATATCAAATTATTAAGTTGGTGTTGGATCTATTCTTACCAACAAGGAAAGGAAGCCGAAAACTTTTAATTTCATTAATTGGAAAAAAAAAAATTGGAAAAATTCACATGATTAATACGAACTATTGATGGTCTTCCCATATTTATCCCAACTACTCCCTCAGTTTTAATCGAATATTTTGACCAATATTATTATTAGTCATTACATGTCTACTAAATAGTTTAAATCGTCAGAAAAGCACATCAATATAATTCCTAACTAATTTTGTATCAATGTTATACTACGTATTTTAAAATTTGACATATAAACTGAAAATCGATCTCAAAATTCAATAAAAAAAACCCGGACATCACACGGGCATAAAACTAGTATAGAGTATAATTTAGGTCAAATAAAATTTATGGCTGTTATTGGTTTGGGTTACAACTCTCACAAGCCGTAGCTTCGTTGAAATTCGAGTACAAATCACTAGTCAAGTCATTACCGGTTCAAGTCGGGTTCTAATATGGTCATAAGCATATACCTTCTACTAGTATAATCAGTTAATCACCACTATCATCTTCCAGGGTAGGCTTGGAAAAGCAAACCCATTTCTTTTTGCCATTAAACTGCTGAGTATTATTTCAACTTCTCCGACGATCCACCACCACCTGCAACAATGGCGGCAACTGCCACCACAGCGCACGTTAGCATCAATCGCAGCTTCTCGAATTCAATTCCATTCAATCAAACCAAACGTGCGCCGAGGTGCGCATTATCCCCCCAAAACTTGAAGGAAAGCAGACGAGTTGTCTCCATTTCTCTCCTTCTTCTCCACTCTTTCTCATCTCTTCCTCCTAGTACGTGACGTCATCTCTTTCACTCTTAACTTTTTTGTAAAATTTAATTTTTATATAAATATGAAATTGAAACAAAATTTTCGTTTTCCCATTTTGCAGATTCAATTGCAGGCGGTCTCTTTGATAGATACGTGAAGAAGTAAGAATTTTTGTAATCTTATTATCTTTGTTTAAGTTTATATATACTGTTTTGTGGTTAGTTACTTAGTTTACCTCAATCCATTTGAAATTAATAGTCGCGTTGAAAGTGTTAATGTAATTTGAACTAGTTATGTGATAACTAAATCTGAACTGGGTGGATTATATTATAGTGCACAATATAATGTGTTTTGTTTGTTTTTTTTTTTCGTCGAATGTTATGAAATTTTGTGGATTAACTTAATTTAGTTAAATGGATAATACGGAGAAATAAATTGTTTGCCTTGTTGAACTGTGTAATGTGGATGGAGGAATGTAGATACAAGTACTATTTTTGGATTACATTGAAAAATTGAAAGTTGCTGTTTTGCCAATCATGTTGAAATTGAAACCGGGGCAATCTACCATTATTTCGCTTGGGTGGTTGTTGGTTTTGTTTATTCCGAGTTTGTAATTTGTTTTGATGGAGTGCCAAAGGGGTGGAAATGTTCAAACTCGCAGTGGGTAGTCAATTTGGTAGGCTATGGATTGGGAGACTGGTAGATTTGAGTTTCATACGTGATTTGACAGAAAATACACCACATGGATATCTAAGATAATTTATCTACATTTACAAACATGTGTTTTTCTTCGTTGATTTTTAATACCACTCTTAAGTAATCTCATGCCAACTTACATACAAATTTAATCACCTAGTCCCCTGATTTGTGTTTTCATAGCAAACATGTAATGGAGGGATTAAAAAACATTTAATGATTTAGGATAAACATATAGAATTAAAGATCTTTCAATCCATTTTATCTTCCCTCCCCTCAACCTTCACCGTTGTTGATTATCTCCTACTCATGAAACTGATTAAAAGGGGCATACTGCTTGGTTGTTAGTTGATTTAGTAAGCTGTTTTGTTCTTCAGGAAGCTTTTTGTTAGGTGCGAGATTTTTTTTTTTCTTCTTTTTTTTCCCCACCCTCTAATCATATCTTCTGTCTGATTATTGTTTTAAATATTTTTTTTTTTTTAAAAAAAAAAAAAAACCACAAAGGGGAAGCTTAAATTTTAGTTATAGGTGTTTGAGATTAATGATATTGTTCCTTTCCTCCCTGAATATGAATTAACTACTTGATAATGTGCAATTCCTCCTGATTCTCAGCCGAACTTTGATATTATAATGTCCACTGGGATCCTTTATCTACTTATATTGATGCTATATCCACAGTGCTATTTGTTGTGTTGTGAATATATAAGCTGGGATTGAATGTTGATTCGTATCACCACTTGATAGTGTATGTCAATCAGGAAAAAGCTTGAACCTTTGGAGTCCTATGTGCCTGCAGTAATACTGACTCAGTTGCAAATTAAAGAAATAGGTGACTTCTCTTTCTTTCCAGCTTAATTTCTAATATGCGGTTTTGATATATATATGTTGTTGATGTGGTCGGGATGTGGGTGTTTAACTTTCTCCTGGAGATTTGAAGTTGGAATTGCTTTTGAAAGGAACTACAACTAAACAAATGTATTCCATATATTTTTCAGGCACATTATTGCCCTGAGATTGAGCAATCTGTGAGACTCATTTGTCTTCTCTCTCTGAATGCAGAGAAAAGCCTAGAAGTTGATCAGCCTCAATATGCCTTCTACAGATCATTTCTACGGTCTGGTCCTGCTGCTTCATTCCGGTCAAATATACGAGCTGTAAGCTAGAATTTACTCAGCCATCTTTATCTTCCTTTAGGTAGCACTAGATTCGGGAAAAAAAAGCTTTTTGCTATTCTGTCATTGCCTTGTTCAGAAATCTTGAAGCGATCAATTTGATATTTTTATTCTTGGTAATTTAGTTTGGAGGAACTACTACATTTTTGATTGCTTGACTCTGCATGTTAATGTTTCAATACCTATCTGTTTCTTATACTTCTTGGTGGTCCTAGAGTTTGAACTCATCTTTGAAATGTAGGTTGCAGAGTATGCCTCTGATGGTGGAAGGGGGAAGACTGCCTCTGATGATGTTGATCGGTGTCTCAGGTACTGGCCATTGTCATTTTAATTTAGAACTTATAGATTGTAGAAAGCTGAATATTACAACCTTGTTGTTTAGCTTTAAATAAGTTATGTAGAATTTGGAAACTTTTTGCCTTGAATATGAATTGTGACCTCCAAAAGCCTGATCTAGAAATCTTCCCTTACATGAAGTGGTTGGATGCAAAGTTGCAAAGGTTTCTTTATTTTCTGTTAGTGTAAACCTGCAAGGAGATTGCGTGGTTGGTGGATATACTTGTATGGTTAGGTGTCTAATACAATAATCCTCTCAAAAGCACACTAGAACTCATGTTTATTTTATATAGGTTGTCTATGAGTTAAAGCTAAAAGAAAATTGGAGGGATATGAAGATTTCATGCTCTATATTCACCCCATTTTTCATGTCACTTTTTCCATCTAGTATTTTGTTTGGGTCTATGTGTACACTAACGTAATGCTCTATTACAAATTTGAAAGAATTAGATTATATGGGGTGGAGAAATGGAATAACATTGATTTACACAGTAGTCTCTATGTCAAAATCATTGCTTAGAAATCAGGTGATGTACCAGACATGCTATAGATCGGATTTATGTTTAATCATAATTCTAAAAACAATTCTGGATGTTTGTGATGTCACTGGTGGTTCCCTTATGAAGAGCTGTGGATGAACTTGATTCTTTGCTCCTACGCGCTTCAAGAAATAACGGGGAAGCATCAGCCAAGTTGATGAAAGAAAAAATTAGCACTGCTGTGAATGCATTGGATAGGTAAACCTCTGGGGCTGAACTGTGTAATTTACCCTGTTTTGCTCTTTGTAATATATACTGCAAGAGAGAAAAATAAAGGGTATAAATTTGTAATGTATGTTAAACTACATTATTTTCTGATCTTTTTGCAGCCTTCTCCAAACAGTTCCCACTGACGTGCTTGATAAATCGAAAGCAATTGCTGATTCCTATCGGAACCCAGACAGCAATGAGGTGCCTGAAGAGTTGGATCAGGATTTGAAAGAATTGCAATCAATATTGTGATACTTCCCACCCCCAGATAAACTTATAACATGTAGATAGACCGTAAGTCCCAAATGAAAGGATAAATTTCCCTTTTCATTATGTAAATTTGTTTTTGTACTGAAATCTTTGAGATGTGATGTTATACGACACTTTGACATAACTAGTTATACAGAAATTGGTTTGTGATATGCTTAGCTCTATAATTATCCCTCTCTTCCCTAATCTTTCTACCCTAACTTCTGTTGATAATTCAAGCTCCTTATAATTATTGTTGTAGAATGCTCCTTTAGAACTTAGCTCATTCGATCTGATCCTCGCTGTAAAAATAATTGGAGTATATTGAAATTATGTAGTCATACCTTGCGCATAGAAATAATTATGTAGTCATACCTTGCGGCTTGCGCATAAAAATAATTGGAGTATATTGAAATATCAAAAAGAGAGAAAAAAAGTGTTACTGGAAAGATTTGAACTTGGGAGCTAGAAAATAAATTCAAATTTCACCCAAAACCAACTTAGCTAGAATCACTCAACATGATATTACCGATATTTAATAGATAACCAAAAGCAAAGGGGAGGCCAAGGCCCACCCCAGCTCCCCTTGGTTCCGCCCATAATGTCCTTCTTCTGGGGTTGCCCAAGCAGGGCTATCAAAATATGCCTTTAGGAAAAGATATTATCTTCTCTGAGTAGTATGTAACCGGGAAATTTGGTACTTAAACCGACTCTTACAGATATACTCCGTACCACTTTGTCTCTATCTTACTGTGACTAAAATCGCAATGACAATGCAAGTGACTTTACTTGTACTCCCCTGGTTCAAAAATTTCCTAATTAAATTTCCTAATTTAATTAAGACAATTATGAATTTTGACCAATAGTTTAATTATCAATATATAAATAAATATATAAATGATAAAAAGTTGATATTCAAAAACTATATTTTAATACAATTCTAGCGAGTACTCACATGCCTATGCTTAATGCCTTAATCCAATGTTTAAAATACAATTTAAATTGATCAAAATAACGAGATCCTTTTTAAATACAGGGAGTAATCAACTAATTAGACCAACCATCCACTCGAATTAAAATTATCATCAATGATATTTATCCGCAATGTCTTAAATACTTGTTTGTCTTGTTCATCTCAAAATATCGCCTTACACTATTTTTGTACCGTCTACCACTTTCATTATTCTCATGCACTTATTTTCTATTTATAATCCATTGATATAAAATTTTATACAATACCTCATTCATAAAATATTTTATCCTAATCAAACCTTTTTTATTTAAAAATGAAATTGAATGTAATAAAAGGCTCGTTTATATATTTAAGGTAGACAAACATAAAAAATAAAAGAAAAAACAGTAGATAAAAATCAAAAGTGATGAGACAAAACCAATTGTTGTTAAAGCTAGTCGACATCCACATAACGTAAAGCTTAAAGAGTAAAGACATGTGAAGTATGCACTAAATAACTGAAAATGGTCTTGCTGAGAACATAAACAGCCGATCTTTTCTCTGTGAACATAAACAAATTTGTGTCTCTTTTCTCTCGTTTCTTCCCCCTTTTAACTCCATCTGATCTACTCTCTCTCTCTTTCTCCTTTTTCCCCTTCTTTCTCTCTCTTTCATTCCTCTCATTTCTCTGCTTTTGCGCGATGATCGATCTTCGTGCCATGTAAATTCCTCAATTTCTGCACAATTTTACATCCAATTCGCTTCTGAAACTCCTCAATTTCACTCGATCGATCCCTCATTTTCTAGGGTTTTCAATTTGAATTTTGCAATTGGGTAAAATCGAGTAATATAGGGTTTTTCGGGAGGTTGAATTTTTGTTGTTTAGGGTTTGTATGAGTCTTTGGTGTTGCCTTCCATGCTTCGTCGGCGACGATAGAGAAGATATAATGGAAAGTGCGAGAGACGGTGAGATTAAACCTGAAAGTGAAAAATTGGTTGAAAGTGAGGAAGAAGAACAAGAGGCAAAAGAAGAAGAGAAAGGAGAAGGCGAAGAAGAAGAATTGTTTTTGAAGGATTTGGAATTAGGGTTTTGTTTAGGGTTACCTGGTAGTTGTAGTAGTAGTAATAAGAAGAGTGAAGAGGGATTGAAGGGTGGTGGTTCGAAGAGAGATCTCGGGGGTTTTGTTGTTGAGAGAGAAAAGAGTGGTTTCGAGTTTTTGGAGCTTTCGATTGGTGGTAGCAGTAGTCGGCCTTTGCCGTCTCTGAATGATTCTGCCCCCCCTTTACGAGTTGATGTGACTGATTCCGGGGGTATTACCTTTACGCTACCACGAAAGGCGGATATCAACACCGACTTGCAGTATAAGCGTGCCAAGCTCGAGTCTTATTTTCTGTAAGGATTCTTTTCCACCCTGCTCTTATTCAATTTTGGTTATTTCTGTGAACTGCTGTGAGTTTGTGATAAAATGCAACCAGTATCAGTAGTAAATGATGAATTCCTTGATATTTACTGGAGCTTCTTGTATTATGCTTTAATGTTGTTACAATGTACATTGAAAGGAATGATTTTTCAACTCTTTTCGATGAAATTGTCACCCTGGCCCTTATGGCTTGTTTATTATATGTGAATCAATTGGAGTTGGAATGTGGGGTTGAGATGGGGTCTTGAGGAGCTAGGACTAAAATTATTGGGGTAGTTATATGCTAGTATTAATTATGGAATTAAGGTAAGATGTCTGTAATGGTACAATTATAGCATACAATATATTCTCCTTTAATGCTGGAGATAATAAAATACGGAGTGATTTGTAAAATCATATTTGAAATTCCAGTTTGAATTAATCAAATTTTCAGCCTTTTTCATGATACAATAATAAACTGGCGAGTACATCGAAGCCTTTGTCTCTAGATCCCATCTTTTCTCCCAATTTCTTTCCCTAAATTCTGGTTGTTGGAGAATAGACTTATCATACTGACTCTGATTACTGCATTTCCACTTGTTTAACAAGATGCTAATATCTTATTTATTATGGTTCAAGAATTAGGATTGACTGCCAACTGTCAAGGTGCTATTGTAACTGATTTTTGATGTCTTTGTTGGATACTGTTTGTCCAGAGAAACAAGTTGCTCAAGAGATGCACCTTCATGTACTGATAATAACTTCTTAGATGCAATAAGGAGCTACCAAGCCTCTCCAAATTCTTCTGTTTATTCAATGAATAAGATTCAAGACCTAACGCCTCCAATGGATGAATATGTAATTGTAAGCTATAATAAAGATGGAGACATTTTTGAGGGCACTATTGATAATTCAGATATGGATGGTATGGTGATCCCGCTGGATCTTTCAGATGATTTATTGCATATGGTAAAACTATTGCTATAACTTTTCCTTGATGTCTTTAGAATTTTATTTTTTTAATCATTTATATAGGAAGTAGAACATAATCTTATGAATCAAGTGTCACGTCTAGATACCATTTTCTTATTAGCTATAGAGTAGCTAGTTTGTCTTTTTTGTTGAGGGTTTATTGGAAGCTGCTGATCTGCACTTACAAGATCAGGATTGTACCTTAAACCCCGTCATATTCCCTCTAGTTACTCTAACTCTTCAATTATCTCAAGTACCTATGTTGGATATTTGGACACTGATATGACACTTAGATACTTTGTTTCGCCCAAACTCATGCAAGAGTTTTATAAAACAACTTTGTCGGACATTTGGGCATGTACTTGTCTCTGTCACTTGTAACCAATTTTGATTAGCATAGTACATCATGTGGAAAGTGGGAGCCTTATGACTTGTAGAGAGACATCAGAGTGTTGTAATTTGGTTTGATCATTGTAATGCTTCTTACTTGTGATCGTCTGACTTAATTTTAATTGCTTCTGTGCTCTCAGGTATTTTCTTTCCTAGGCCATGCACATCTCTGCATTGCTGCAATGGTTTGCAAGCAGTGGCGAGCTGCCAGTGCCCATGAAGATTTTTGGCGCTCATTGGATTTTGAAAACAGAAACATATCTGTAGCACAATGTGAGTTCTTCTTTTCACAGGAATCAAGTGTTTTTGTTTCTATATTTTTTCATATATATATCTGTAGCAAAAATTGAACTTAGTAATACGCTATTAAAATCTGTACTCTTCAATTAGTTCAATTGAATTACGACACTGTGCTAGAGGTGTATGCTGAAACAATTTTGTGTGGGCCTTGTCTTCAAGTGCCTGTTTATATGGAATATCATGAATGTCAGTCTATGTTGTGACTATTTAGGTCCTTTATTATAATTGAATGGATAATTGAGAAGGATGTCTATCTTGGCACATTTGAGAATTAGGTAATCTTAATTATTATTGTGTGAAATTTTTGGTCTTTGATATGAGAAGCTGGTTTGAGTAATTTATTTCTGCTTCTGGTTGGTCTCTTCTCTGCCCTTCTTTCTCTCTGGTAATATTTCTCTCACCAGTTGTTTTTTCATGCTGATATTAGACTATGTGTTCCTTGGGACTTCAATTTTGCTTGAAAGATAAAATAACCTGGGTACTGGGGTCCGGCTTCTTTCCTTAAATTGAGATGCCATTATTATTTTTTTGAAGGATGGGTGCCGAATTCTTAACCTTCAACATTTTCTTTTGGTGTACATGGTTTATAGGTCGATAATATACTTAAAATTAGGGCCTTGATACCTTTAGATTGTAATGTTAATGATGTTTGCGAGATATTTCAACTTAGACTGTTGGATATACAAGTTTGGAATTATATGCTTGAGCTTGCATGACAGCTGTGCAGGTCATGGCTTCAGTCAATGTCATATTTTGAGGCTATAGAGTCATCTTGGTGTAAAAGCCATCTCCTGTTTGGTGTATTTTATCCAGGATAAGGTCATATCTCATGAGATTCGCCGTTGGGTAGTTGATTAAAATGTTATGAAACCTTAATTAACTGTGTACAACATATATAATGCAGATGCTACAGAAGTTTTAGAACATAACAGTTGTTTTTAAACACTTTGCCTTGTTGTTTACTTTCTAGTGTTTGTAGCTTTTATGGTTGTTTTTTGTTAATTTTTGAGTCAACTATATATTTTTTTATTGGTTTTTCTATGTGCAGTGGAAGATATTTGTCATCGGTACCCTAGGGCTACTGAAGTGAATCTTTGTGGTAATCCTGATATGCACACACTTGTCATGAGAGCAGTTTCTTTGTTGAGGTACATTGTCT